TCTTGTCATATCATGTCACGCCACCTACGCCATGTCAATTCACGCCATGTCACATCATATCACTTCATACCAGCCCTTGCCAGTCTCACAGCACATTCGCCTGACGGCACATTCTGCCTGTCACCCTGTGGTCCAATTTGCATGGTTATGGCTACTGGTTTTCCTGTGGACTTCATCACTTCTACCGCCCATTCTGCTTCTTCTACATTAGCAAAGAACTGAAAAGAAAAGGTGCTTCCTTAACCCTTTCCACCCTAACATCACTATCCATATTCTCGATACTCTTCTCTATACATTTCTTTTGGAACTGGTAAGGAGAATTTGTTTTTCAATCAAAGTTCTCTGGGTTGGCGCAGATCATTTGCTACATTCTCATGATATGAACTTATGACTTAGCTATATTGCTGTAAGGAGAAATTAGATGCTGGTCACCCTTAGGATTTAAAGGGTTAAGGTTACCGTGCACCTTCAGGGGTGTCTTGCGTGCAAGCGATGTAGCGCGTCCGGTTTAAACTGTAGATATCTAAACCCCTATATCAGATTAAAGCTTATAGGACTGGCTGTCAGACTATACCAAACATTTTGAAAAAAGAAAAATGAATTGTCGATTTTTTCACGACTTCTAAATGCAAGCGCCCGAATCACCTTTGGAACGTTACATGTTAAAGCGAATGTTGTTTTTCGCTTATTTAATGTGTTCCTCCGTTTCCGGGACCAAAGCGCTAAAAAAATGTGTCTGTGATTTGCCATATTCAACTTCAGTGAAAAGTTACAGAACATTTTTGAAATAGAATCAAAAAAATGTGGAGTGATTGTACAAAAATCACTCTTGAAATAAAAGTATTTAGAAATAAAAAATTCGTAGATACGTTTTTGTTGTTTATATGTAAAACTAGCTACTGTCAAAATTTGAGAGCAATCGAACAAATTCCCTTTGACTTGTAGCTTTTAAAAGGTGATTCGGGCGCTCGCATTTAGAAGTCGTGAAAAATTCGACAATTCATTTTTTTTTTTCAAAATTTTTGGTATAGCCAGTCCTATAAGCTTTAATTTGAGATAGGGGTTTAGATATCTCCAGTTTAAACCGGACGCGCTACATCGCTTGTACGCGAGACACCCGTGAAGGTGCAAGGTAACCTTGAGAGATTTGCTAAATGACAAGGTAATGAAAGGCTATTATGACAAAGAATCTTAACATAAATGTCGAATAAAAACATGAAACTGAAAAGAAAAGGTGCTTCCTTAAGAGATTTGCTAAAAAAAAAGGTAAAAGAAAAAGGCTAGCATGACAAAGAATCTTATCATGAATACCAAATACAAAGATACCAGCCAACTTCCGAGGGCAAACCATTCCTTTCAGACTTAAATGGTTTCTCAATCATTTTTTATGTTTTGTATTAAAACATGTGACTTGGTTGGAAATCTTACCTCGCCAATGAGAATATCTGCATCATTCTGAACGAAAATCTCGATTTCATCTCTAAACTTCTTCATTATGACATCTTTTCCAGCGCCTTTCTGATACAAGAAAGCTGTCTGACAGATACAACCTGCAAAGTACACCCCTCCTTCTTGTGCCACGCCCTTAGCAAGGTCGCAAGCTGCTTGGTTTATTTTCTGGGTCTGAAAGAGAATTTGAACATTGATCTTTAATGGTCTAGATCAACAAACCGCATTTTATATTGAGAGAACACGAGGAAAGGCTGTAGACCACGCGCCCAAGGTTTGTGATTATCAAGTATTTCGAGCGTCCTCTCAAAATCACAAAAGGATTATTCTGTTGATAACCCAACGGTCCATTATATTTGAATAAGCAAAGGAATGTGTCCAATCAGAACTCCGGAGTATTCTAGTCATTCCATACAAGTGATTAAATCAAACCAAAGGCAACCCAAGTTTGCACACTGAAGGAGTTGTGTGAATATGAACGGTAACATTCTTAACCTAGAAATCTGCTCTCTTTTAGAGTAAAGCAGAGGAAGTAAAAATGACTTAAATGGCCATAAATCAGCCCGAAAAATTTACAAGATTCAAAGGAACAAACACGAGAGCGAGTTTCTATTCAAAACTACCACAGATTTTTTTCTCATACAAACCCTAACATTTCGCCCATGGTGCAATATCTACATGTATTCAAATGAACACAGGCTTGTATGAGCTATGGCTGCCTTACACTTGCAAAGAGAATGAATGAGATGGGACTAATTTACTTTGCAGCAATCGGAAATTGGAAGAGAAGAGTTCACCAATTTCCTGTTTTATTTTTATCCGGCTTTCAGAAGCGTTCAACCTAACAAAATAGTAGTCTTTCTCAAGAACGTCCCACCTCGTTTTCGTGAAAAAGTTAATCACCTCACCCCATATTTGGCATTGTCTCCTCCCAAGTCATCGTCCATAGAGAATGTGAAACCTTGAATGACGTCAGCTCCTGCTCGAAGGAACTCTCGATGAAGTTGGCGAACTACATAATACAATTATTGAGGATGAGAAAAGGGATCGTTAAGAAAAATGAAGAGAACGAAAATTGCAAATAAATTATACAGGACTCACAAAATACAGGAAGAAAACAAAAGGGGGAAATAATTTTTCAAACCAACGTAGGCACAGGTCCTCATTATCTTAGCGCTGAAGGACACACGTTTATTCACCAGCGGGAAGATTTGACACTAATCGAGGAGAGGTTTTCCGGAGGTCTGGCACTAATAATGGGAGCTGGACCCATAGCGGTTGGGCGAAGAATCTCTCCTGTCCAAGCGTTAATACTCCCAACAATGCATGCGCGCGCAGACTAAAACCAACGAGGAGAACCAAGCATCCGAAAGTGATGGAATAAATACTTCTACTCAACATCGATAGGATATTGTGTAGGATTAATTTAGAGACTTACGAGTTCGAAACGGATATTGACAAACCCTTTGTCGGAGTAATCTATCTGTACTTTTTGGATCTGGGGCCCAATCTACGGACTGGTTCCTAGAGCAATTTATCTTTACTTACGCTTTTCCACATTACGATCATGCCATTAATTCTGATTACACTCTAACTTAAAAAATTTGCCACACCTCTGAGATTAAAACTGACCTCCATCTGGATGCTCCACGTTGCATTCCGGCGTCCAAGGTCCTGCTTTCACGTATCCTCGTTTTTCCAAGGCATATGTCATCCCTCCATCTCCGACTAAAACCTCACCGGCGTTAAGGCGCTCTAAAATACTAGTCTGAGACAGGAAACGTCACGAAAAATCAGCAACAAAATATATTTAAGGCTATGGGTCAAAGAGTGTTCCATGATATGAAGACACAAAATCATCATATTGGGGTGTAGCCTAGAAAAAGTGTCCCTTGCTAAGAAAATTTGAGAAAAAAGTTTCACAGGTGTCACGCAGCGGAAAGACTTTGCGTGATAATTCGTATATGCTAATGTTGGACGAAAGTCAATTTGAGACCGTGCCCGACAGTCAGGAATGTTCACCGAATTCCCACAGAATATCTAAAGCAAATCTAATGCGAGAACTTCCGAGCGATTTCAAAAATTGGAATGATCATTTAGTAGATTTGTTTTTCGAGCATGTGCATATCATAAGATCGCTAGCTCAGAAATTTGATCAGTCTCGATGAGCTAGCGGTCTTACGGTAAGCATAAGCTCAGAAAATTCGTCCAAAATGTTTTCGGAATCGCTTGACATTCCTAACCAAACATCTGATACTCTTAAGAGAACCTTTAAGTGGAAAATGTTTGACTACTGGGCATTAATACCACAACCTTTCCCGTCCAGATCTGCTGGGCATTGTCGCTGCCAACGAGATGCATAATTAGAATGAATTTGCACAGCTGCAACATAACACTCACCATTCCAGAAGCTGACATACTTTGCGGTCAAAAGTTTGATTTAAAAGAACTGATCGAGCCTTCTGTCTTCTAAGAACGTCTCGGAAAGTCGAAAGGTGAGTTTATGGCCTATATTTGGAGGGAGAGAGTACGTTATCTCTGGACTACTTCTGCATAGTCATTGTTCCGTTGTGTGACGCATGTAATGCGATGAAAGCTTTCTGCGTCGAGAACAACAAAACTTAATCTATGCAAATTTTCTGATTACCAGGGCCCATCTTCTCCTGGCTCTAGGGTAGGCAATGTTAGGCTAGGTAGACCAGTTTTTAAAAATCTATTTATAAAGAATTCTTAATCAAAGAAAAAGTTAAATACATTTGATTTAGAGAGAGAGAGAGAGAGAGAGGAAAAAAAGATAACAGTTTATAAAATAGAAAAGAAAGGGAATTATGAGAGCAGATCGACGTTTCTAAAGACAACTAATGGAAGATTTGTTTTTTGCTTTTAACTCTTTCATTTAACTGTAGTGAATATTCTTCTGGAACACTTTACAGAACATGTTGTATTTCAAGGAATTTATTTTGTAACTGCTACCTAACTGGCTCTGTGAGAAAGCCCGGTATTACATTGACCACATCTAATTCTTAAAAAGGCATTTCTTCTTCGACTTGCAAGCTACAAAGAAGTCTGGTTTTCTTTCAATTTAACACAAGCTTGGCCCATGAGAAAAAATATCGTAACTATGATGCTACTTGTATTCCGCTTTTTACCTCCTTCTAGGGCAAAAGGGAGCAATTTTCAGTCGAGGCTCTCCAGTCCACATCAAGTCCCAATTTTGTCACGGAAGTAAGAGGCAATATTTAGTTCTTATTAACCGGGCGGGAGGTCTGTATGGGAGAATCTTGACCCAGGTCGCCAGTACAGACCGAAGGCAGTGAGGTCTGTACCAGTGACCGAGGTCAAGATTCTCCCATACAGACCGACTTAGCTCGGTTAATAAGATGTTTATTATATGGCTGTGTCTAGAAAGACCGGTCTAGATGCCAGTCTAGATGGGAAAATCTAGACTGCTTTCAATATTGATTTCAGCCAATCAAATTCGTGAATTCGGTAGTTCCCAGTCCTTGTGAGACACAGCCATAAAATAATCGTCTATATAATCATTGCCTTTCAGTATAGTCACAAGATAGTGAATGATCAAGACCAATAATCTTAAAATATCTCGTTGTTTGACTTTTCTATGTAGTACAAGTACAGGTTGCTGAGCTAAAATGTCTCTCAGTGAGTGAAATTTATGTTCAGCTCTGACGTCATCAAGCTGGTCCGTCAAACTTCGAAAGCGCGGGAGAGTGGGGACGACCACTAGCAGGTTCCAGATTTTCCCAATAGGCGCGGTTGGCCCTGGGTATGGAGATAAAAATTATAAAATAGCACAGATGAAATAGTTTACCGATTCCAATTGACAAAGGTAACTTCCGTGCGTTGATGCCCGGGCCGACGAGAAATATTTCAATTGTTGGAATGGGTATAGAAAAGAAGTGTAAGCAAACATTAAGTCTGAACTCGAGCCTATCGGCCCATCCAGCCGGAGCTGAGCTTATTCCGGTTTCCATGTAGCATGAAGCGGCCAAGAGTATTACTACTCCGCCCTGAATGGCATGATTGTCCATTACAAGGTTTTACCTTCGTCCCATCCATTCTTTGGGGTGATTTTTATACCCTCCTCCCCATGGCTCGTGCTTTTCACTTGCAACAGGAAGAAAGCCCCGTTCTGGAGAGAGCTGAAAACGATAAATAAAAAGAAAACTTAGAAACATTTGACAGGGAGTGCCTCCAAGGGAACAGCTCGGACAGGTCTGCCCTCAAATCTAAAACCAAATCTCCGTAAGATATGCGACCCTTTCAACTAACATGTGCATACCGAGGAGAGATTGTGGACAACACTTTCGCTAAAATTTTCTGATGTCTTTTGCTACTAAGAAAAATTTCATCGCAAATTTCTTCTACCTCCTCTGCGATAGCCCGGATGTGATATGGCTCGAATCCACAGCAGCCGCCGATGAACCTCACCCCCATGTCGTAGGCCTGCCGGGCGTACTTATGCGCGTCCCATCTGGTTAGTGTACGAGGCTCCAAAGCTAAATTAAAGAGAAGTAAGAGAAAAAAAATGTTGCTTTCTGCGAGTTAGATATTTCTGTAACTGTCGGCAATAAATACTGTCCTGAAGATTAAAAACACTCGGACTCGTAGAATTGTTTGTACCTTTAATCATCATCATCATCATCATCATCATCATCATCATGATGTTTATTTGTTCAAGCAGGTTGAATTTATTGGCAACTGTATAAGCTGATGTGGACCTGCTGTTTTCCCACCCAACCNGAAGGACATCCAGCACACAGTAATCTCGTGCGTGGGAAATTAACGTCTTTTACCCCTTACCCTTTAAGAGACGGGACCTCCGGCTTTACGTCCTATCCGAGAAGACGAAACAATGTGAGTGAAGTGTCTTGCTTAAGGACACAACGTTAAGCCCCAGCCAGAACTTGAACCCGGGCCGATTAACCCAGAGTCCAGCGCACTGACCACTGGACTACTCACGCCTCACTAAATACAATCACTCCTTGGGTTCCTTGTTATATCGCCCTCCGTTTCTGTTTAGTGTTTCAGTTTATATAGGACGAGTAAAACTGTTGAAAATAAGATCCTTAATGCAAATTTAACGCACTGAGATTCGTTTAGGTTGGCCGAGGTACAACCTTGTCTCGAACAGTGAAAACATGTGTAACTTATCCGAGCGAAGACTGGTAACAAAATTTAAACTAAATGCCGCTGTACTAATCTAATGCGACAGCATTAACAATTTCTCTTCTGAGTAGCAAGAATGTTTTCTCGACCTACGTATCCATCAAAGTTAAAAGAATCGACCAATCAGAATTCACAATTTAAAGCGAGTCAGCAAATCAGAACAAGCAGTCTAAATAAATAAGCCCATGGAAACGTGCCTTAGTATTAGGCAAACACACAACCAAGGTTTCGAGAATAATTTCTTACCAAATGGTAGCTCGGGTAAACTAGCGAATCCTGCTCTTCCGGCGTCTGGAGTGTGGTAACCTACAGGCTGGATCATCAGATGAGGACTGAGTCCTTCATTATCCAGTGCTTCTTTCATTAGAATGAGAGTTTTTATGGAAGTACTGGGATCGAATTTGCAGTTTACTCCAACGATGTCAGCACCTTACATAGGGGATAAAGAGAGAAGCGTATTTCAATCCACCCTTATACAAATATTCAAGGAGCCACTATGACAAGAATAAAAGCATAGTAAGTGAAATCTGTTTGGCTGGCAAACGCATCAGCCCTTGAAGTTGTCATTTTATATTAGAGACCTTAAGCAACCACAACGGCGACAGCAACGAGGGCGTGGAAAAACAAGAGATCTAATTGCCAGAACAATAGCTCAGCATATGCATTTTGAAACATTGTACATTTCCTAGCCGTCCTATGCAAAACAACAACGTGAAATCGCAAAAATTTGCGTCGTCTGCAAGCCGAAACCGCGACGGCAAATATTTTTATTTCCATTTGGAACTCAACGCTACTTTTATACGTCCTACTGAAGTTGAGCTGTGGCACTGTATGAGACAGTAAGCTCATGCAGCTATTTTTGAAATTCTAACTAAGAGTAGAAATTCAGTTTTTAATTGAAGTCTTCCTTGGCGTTGCCGTCCTGACTGCTTAAGGTCCCTATTGACTCCGAGAAGGAACAGAATAGAAGACTGAAAAAGAAGGAAGAAATTCTAGATAAAGTAAGATCTTACTTTTGCAAGAAAGCCCCAACCTTGACCCCGTCCTCTTCCCACCCCCACCTAGAATTTCACTTCCAGATTTCTCTGACAGCTCGTTGCAGACCCATTAAAATTAAACTCCTGCTTGGAGACATTTCGGTGTAAAGTGTCCTGGAAATAGCACGAAAAGGGGCTTTGATTAGAAGTCACACCTCTTTCCCTTATATTTCAAACCCGAGTTACTTTGACAGTTTGCTGCAGACCCATGAGATCGGAACCACTGAAGGCAGTGTCCAGCTCCCTAATTTTAAGACTGCTGTGTCTCCAGCGTATGCAGTTCACCTTATTGCAGGAATAAACCAGTACAGTGAGGCTAAATTCTAATGTAAGCCACAGTAAAGAGTCCCATAGTACCTGCTCTCGCCAGCCTCACTGCGCACTCTCCCGGTGACACATTGGCAAAGTCTCCCTGTGGTCCGATGCACATCGTAATGGCAGTTGGTTTGCCTGTGGTTTTCATCACCTCTACTACCCATTCAGCTTCCTCGCCATACTCAAAGAACTAAGAAGATAGTAGTAGATAGATGCGGTAATGATTCATGTCAGAGCTCACAGACACACACAAAACAAAATTAACAAATGGTAAACACCACAGCGTACACTATTGAGTTATGGATGCACGCGGGAGGTTGCTAAGCACGAAAGAAGCGTAAGAGTCGCGCGAGGCGATAGCCGAGAGCGACTCTAGCTTCTTGAGTGCTTAGCAAACCTCCCAAGTGCATCCATAACTCAATAGTGTACGCTGTGGTGTTTACCATTTGTTTTATAACATAACATTGATACATTGTAGCTAAAGAGTTCCCTTTTATTTAACAAATCTTACGTGACCAGAAAAAACAAGCGCGCGCGGAAAAATAGTCTTTGCATTTGCTCACGTCAGCAGCGTACACCCATGGGCAAATGGGGGACGCTAAATTGACCAATCAGAGCGCGCGCTTTACTTTGGTTATGTTATAA